CAGTTTAACATGGACATCCCATTCAGACACAGTATACTGACTCAGAGCAGACCAGTCGTGTTTTATCCCCTTGATGCCGAGCGCCAGGGTAACAACAAGTACAATCTTAAACGTCTTTTGGTTTGACGCGACCAGGAATCGAACCACAGATCTTACGCTATCTAAGCAGATGCTCTATCCCCTCGTCCAGGAACGCGCTACGGTGTTCGCATGTATGATGCGACAGTTTTGGGATATTCAGAAACGTTTCGGTTCCAATTTATCATCATTAGACCGCCTCAGAGTACTCTCCGAGATGCTACAGATGTGTGAGCTTTCGCCTCACAACATATATCTTCTTAATGGGCTTGTACCCAATCCGGCGTCATGAGTGAACTTCCTAACCGCTCATCTATCAAGCGGGGCCTGGGTTAAAGAATAAAGCAAAAATACGGAAAAGGTCTTCCCCTTTTCAAATAGTGTTAATGTGACGCTTACATTCATTTCGACAATCCTATCAAGCCACGACGTCGGGCTACGTAGAGAAAGACGTTGACATTACGTTGTTTCGAAACGAGATATGCCACTACAGGAGATACGAATTCTTGAGTTTCGTTTGAACTTTGAGGACTTCCAAACACGATTGTCTGAGGCGTGCGGTCAGCGTCACTGGGAGAATGATGAATTGAGGCAGACATTAAATCTCTTAATGTAGTTCCCAGTGGGTATTCCGGTTTTAGAATAGGTCCCCAGTAACCTCAGCTTGTCGTGGTGTGAGTAAATTGATCGGGTCGTTAAGCTCGGTGACCTGACTCACGGTTTGGGAAGGTGTTCGTGCTATCAACCACTAGTTTGCCTTGCCCTGATTATTTTCAGGCCGTCGCGAAATAGCTGCAATAGTGACCACTGCGACGTTATAAAACAAAGAAACAAGCGTCATGTAACTACCGGGAAAAAGAAAGTAGTCAGTGACACCTATGTTTGATCGTGGCTCTAAATGAAACACCAAGAAATGTTTAATATTCCATGGTGATGTAATAGATACGGGTATCATAGCTGTGGTTTGGACAACAGGCCCCTGAAGCAGGATAGTGATATTACTGAAAAACTGGACCCATATATATAAATAGACAAGGTACGTCACTCGCCATCTTGGCCGGAGTTGAAATCGGCTGTATCGTTTAAATAAACTGGAAATGTATGCATGTCATGTTCACAATACCTCCCCACCTCCCTCCACATACAAACCTTCATTTTTGGCAATTTATTACCAATATCGGGTGATTTTATCGAAATATTGGCTCAGTCGCGGTTGTGGGTCACGGAAGTTAACAACAAATCTCCGCGCACAATGGCGTCGAGTGCTGTGATTGGTCCGCTCTCCAACCATAACAAACGCACATGGAGATATTTACCAATCAGAGCGCTCGGGGCCATTGAGTGCGGAGATTTTTGGACCTTTAGTTTGCAGTTTTTCGGCGACTGTTTTCCCTGTCCTTTTCATAACGTTTGTAATGATTTGGTCAAATCCAATTTTCAAGTGTATACTTTCTTTTGCCCGGGAGTGAAACTTCCTGTCCTATTACATCTCAGTGTAAAACAATTTTCGATGGTCGTGATAGACTGTGCCGCGGGGTAAATATCCCCTAATTGATGCAAATTTTAAAGGCATGCAGTAAACATTTGCATATAGTTTTCTGTCGTGACACTAGAACCTTTATTCTATTTACATTGACGCGGATGTCACCACATCACTCCTGAAACATTAGATGATTATATGCCTCCCAGAGAAAGGGTACTGGTAGAAAAGTGACTGAGTGAGTATGGTTTTACGCCGCTTTTAGCAATTTTCCAGCAATATCGCTCGTCACGCCGATGACCCGGATTCGATTCCCCTTATGGGTACGATGTGTGAAGCCCATTTCTGGTGTCCTCCGCAGTGATATTGCTGGAATACTGCTAAAAGCGGCGTAAAACCATACTCACTCACTGAACAAAACAAAAATGTCCCACTTACACGAGAAATAGGGGACATATGAATGAAAGTATAAAATGTTGTAGTAATTTTGTTATATCTATTCACAAGAACCACAATAGACAGCTAGTGTCAACCCAACCGAAATCCATTGCAATTATATGCAATCTACAAATAATAGAGTTTAAGTGAACATGGATATTTCTCTTCTACGACTGTTTTATTTGATGCCTAATTGAAGGAGAAAGCAAATGATCTCGTTCAAAATGTTCTTAAGGTACCAACAATTATAGTATCTTAATTAAAGAAAGTTGCCAGGAGGCTAACTTGTGAAGAGTAGTCTTAGGGGAAACAGCATCTCTAAGGTTGGCTAAAGGGTATCATTATATGGATTTTGCCTCATCGAGAACCACACCAATTACATGTTGAAAACACAGTGACGTTAGGAAGAGTATTTTTGATAATGGGAAATGCTTTGGGGCAAGATCTGTCTATTTATCCTGACAGCAGTGGCAAGATATGGATGACAATTACAGAAGATTTACATAACAGAAACCCAAAGCGGAAGATGGCTTTTTAAGCCGGTGTAACTTCATGACGTTGTCGCCCTCGGGGAAAACAGGTTGCCGACAACAGCTATGTTGTATCTAATTATAGTTCTCGTGACCTAGGACTAGCGTTACATTATACGCTTTATTCTTTGGTATATGTGCTATCTGGTGAAACAGGAACCTGATTGCCTACACAGGACGCCGTTTTTGTAATAGATAGAATCTCGTCACTCGTTTCCAATGTCTTACCCGAGGCATAGTCGAAAATCACATTTGTCATGGAACACGTTGAGCTCGCGGAGCACGTCGATAATGACGGTAAACGTACCAAGATGAAGTGTGGACAATATAGGGATGTGGACAGGGATGTGATGTACAGGACCTGATCACGTGGTCTGATGTCACCATCCGGGTACTCATCAGCCTTTCACAAAATCATATTCACTTAAGTTCATGATGGCCTAATTTTATTCGGTGGTTTACGTGAGTGAGTGAGTAAGTGAGTGAGTGAGTGAGTGAGTGAGTGAGTGAGTGAGTGAGTAAAATTGGATTCATATATTGTTATATTGAACCCGGAATTACCTCTTTAACTACGGGGCAACCCCACCGAAACCTCAATCAATGAACGTTAAACGTCAAATGAAATAATATGTTTTGGGGGAAGCATTCACAGCAACGAAATTCTATGTTAAAAAAACACGTAGAAACACGTCATTTTAGCATTGTTCGGATGATCTGGTTTGTTAAGCCAAGATTTTACGTAAGAGCCTTCACTAACGCAGGCCTGGGAGACAAGACTGAAGGGGCTGAACGTTGAACACCCTCTTTAGGAACTAAATATGGCTTAGGGTATCGATTCCGTCTCTCCCTGGAATACCGTCCCACACTCGCGCTGCTCTGACACGGGTTTAAGTGTGGATACCGGGAACGAACATCAGAACATGTTTTAAAAGCGAGTGGGTGAGTGAGTATTATTTTACGCCGCTTTTAGCCGTATTCAAGCAATATCTGGGACACCAGAAATGGGCTTCACACATTGTACCCATCTGAGTGAGTGAGTATGGTTTTACGCCGCTTTTAGCAATATTCCAGCAATATCACGGCGGGGGACACCAGAAATGGGCTTCACACATTGTACCCATGTCGGGAACCGACCCGGGTCTTCGTGACGAGCGAACGCTTTAACCACTAGGCTACCCGACCGCCCCGTACCCATCTGAGGAATCGAACCCAGGTCTTCGACGTTAAGAGCGAACGCTTTAACCACTGGGTTACCTAACCGCCCCTTGGATAATTTAAGAGAGTGATGTCATTGTCTATTATTCAACGGCCCGGCATGTTAATGCGAGAGTAACTCTCAAACTCTGATTGTAGACTTTGGTGAAATCCACTTGTTTCCCTAAGTGGGACTTGATGGTCAGAGGGGAGGTCCGGTAGCCTAGTGGTTAAAGCTTTCGCTCGTCACGCCGAAGACCTGGGTTCTATTCTTTTTATGGGTTCAATGTGTGAAGCCTATTTCTGGTGTCCCCCGCCGTGATATTGCTGGAATATTGCTAACGGCGGCGTAAAACCACACTCACTCACACGCTTATCATATCCATTGTGCTGTTTGAGAACAGGAAGACACGTTTTAGTAGATAAAGGAGTGGGAATAGTCATTCAACGATAGATAACGACCGGATTCCCTAATTTGCTATAATATGGACAATCTAAGGAAAAACGGACCAAAATGGTTGCTCTGTAAAAAAAATATGATGCTCGTGCTAAGAAAGGATAAACAATATCATCCTTGTTTAACCAGGGCATTATCCTTCCAGTTTATTGTGATGAATATATATTCGAGTATGACAATAATAGAATAGAGGCACAAGGGGCCTAGCTAAGACTAAATACAAATTTAGGCACCAAATGGAATACCGCCAACGTGAGGCCGCAAGCGCTCGAGTTGATTGGGGATATTAGGCTGCCGCTAGTGGGAAAATATAATGGGAGACAGTCATAGAAGAGTGTCATGTCTTGATGAGTCTTCATTCAAGACACAGATCAAGACCATTTTATGATATGACAATACTCCATTGTCAGTCTTCATCTCAAAGGAAGTCAAAACATCCCAGCAAACTGTGCATACATAGGGTCGACCATTCTCACTAGTAAACTAATACCCAGTCACAAAAATAAATAATTTTTTTTAAAAAAGCTATTATATATTTTTAGAAAATGTAAGTGTAAGCACGTGCCTATTGTGCTTATAAGCAGCTACGGCCCTGGGCCCACTTGCACAAAGCGATCTTAGCGCTTAGATGATCGTAACTCCGCAACTTTAACATAGGCTTACGATAGTCTTAGCCCTAAGATCGCTTTGTGCAAGTGGACGCTGGAGATAAACTACCCTTGATACATGAATATTATATTGTACGGGACTCCTTTAAAGTGCATAACCGAGATTAAAAGTATGGAAGAGGACATTTGAAAACGGTAATAGATAATGACGTCACCTGCAGGTACGCAATCCACGAGCTTCCCATCGGCTTTGTCGTCCGTGTGACATATCTTCATGGAGGGCATTGTGACGTTAGGCCTTTGTGACGTTATGGGTGTGTGACGTTACGTCTATGTGACGTTAACCAGAGTGACGTTGCACTTCGACGTCCCGTTATCCTCGATTCGTCACAGTCCAAGAAATCTTGAAAGAAACAAATAGAAAGAAATGAGGTTATAAATATACCTTTAAACTAAATTCACACTTTAAGTGAAGGAGTGACCAAGGTCAAATTGTTTTAACAGGCTATTAAAAAACAGTATCTAGCACACACTCTGGGCGCCATGGGTAATCAAAATGTCCGCCCATGCCGAGCATCAATGGCCGAGAATAGCTTTTCAGCCAGCCATCCAAATTATAGAGATTATTCAAGAAATGTTACAGGCCTATGAAAGGGTCTCTCATGTAATTACTTTGATCCAATATCCTCGTAACGCCATCTTGGTGCCATAGTGGTGTATATTTTGGTTTCGGAGTATCATACAAGAAGAAATATATTATCTAATTATTTGACGATGTAAATGTCAAATTTGTCATTCGATAAAATTCAAGCAATGAACAAAGTAAAATGTTTAGTGACAGTGTAAATTGACACCTGATGACCTGATTTGGTACCATGTTATATTAAGATGGATGAAATCTGCAAAAAAATATATGACTACGGGGACGCTAACCGTAGTGTCTTTAAGTACCTAATCTCACATGTGTGACATCTAATAACTGTATGTGTGATCACTTACAACAGACTCCCGTATGTGTGATCACTTACAACAGACTCCCGTATGTGTGATCACTTACAACAGACTCCCATATGTGTGATCACTTACAACAGACTCCCGTATGTGTGATCACTTAAACCAGACTCCCGTATGTGTGATCACTTACAACAGACTCCCGTATGTGTGATCACTTAAACCAGACTCCCATATGTGTGATCACTTACAACAGACTCCCATAGGTGTGATCACTTAAACCAGACTCCCGTATTTGTGTTCACTTACAACAGACTCCCATAGGTGTGATCACTTACAACAGACTCCCGTATGTGTGATCACTTAAACCAGACTCCCGTATGTGTGATCACTTAAACCAGACTCCCGTATGTGTGATCACTTACAACAGACTCCCCTTTGTGTCATCACTTAAACTAGACTCCCGTATTTAATTTCTTACAGTAAACTCCCCCATATTTAATATCTTACAGTAAACTACCATATATTTAATCTCCTACAGTAAACTCCTATATACTTAATTTCTTACAGTAAACTCCCACATATTTAATCTCCTACAGTAAACTCCATATACATAATTTCTTACAGTAAACACCCATATATTAAATCTCCTACAGTCAACTCCGATATAGTTAATATCTTACAGTAAATTCCAATGTATATAATCTCTTACAGCAAACTCCCATATACTTTATTTCGTACAGTATACTCTCTAAGAAGTTTTCTTACAGCAGACTCTCATATGCATGGAATCAAATGTGGAATCTGGTATACTTGATCAATAACAGGTCTTTGCATGGACTCTGTTATGCAGTTTCCCACCAAGAAACATCTAAACATAAGGGAAACTATACAATAATCATATCTGAAGTTATTTTCATATTCATGTCTACAAAACACAGCAAGCTACACGTAAAGCCGGTTCGTTGTGTCTCTGTTTTCCTTTAAGACGAGATATTCTGTTTACGTGGTTATAAAATAGTGGTGTGAAAATGCGAGAGACATTCCAGGTTGATGGAACCTGCATACGTCAGTGCTTCAATTACACGTCGGCATGAATCTGTCAGCGTTACGGGGACATATGAGATGGGAGATCTAACACGGCTCCATGGCTGGCTCCAGGTGTATTCTCTAATAACACACGCAGTTAGCTGGTTTAGGTGAAGATCTAACTCGGCTCCATGACTGGCTCCTGGTGTATTCTCTAATAACACACGCAGTTAGCTGGTTTAGGTGAAGATCTAACTCGGCTCCATGACTGGCTCCTGGTGTATTCTCTAATAACACACGCAGTTAGCTGGTTTAGGTGAAGATCTAACTCGGCTCCATGACTGGCTCCTGGTGTATTCTCTAATAACACACGCAGTTAGCTGGTTTAGGTGATGATCTAACTCGGCTCCATGGCTGGCTCCAGGTGTATTCTCTAATAACACACGCAGTTAGCTGGTTTAGGTGAAGATCTAACTCGGCTCCATGGCTGGCTCCATGTGTATTCTCTAATAACACACGCAGTTAGCTGGTTTAGGTGAAGATCTAACTCGGCTCCATGGCTGACTCCAGGTGTATTCTCTAATAACACACGCAGTTAGCTGGTTTAGGTGAAGATCTAACTCGGCTCCATGGCTGGCTCCAGGTGTATTCTCTAATAACACACGCAGTTAGCTGGTTTAGGTGATGATCTAACTCGGCTCCATGGCTGGCTCCAGGTGTATTCTCTAATAACACACGCAGTTAGCTGGTTTAGGTGAAGATCTAACTCGGCTCCATGGCTGGCTCCATGTGTATTCTCTAATAACACACGCAGTTAGCTGGTTTAGGTGAAGATCTAACTCGGCTCCATGGCTGACTCCAGGTGTATTCTCTAATAACACACGCAGTTAGCTGGTTTAGGTGAAGATCTAACTCGGCTCCATGGCTGGCTCCAGGTGTATTCTCTAATAACACACGCAGTTAGCTGGTTTAGGTGAAGATCTAACTCGGCTCCATGGCTGGCTCCAGGTGTATTCTCTAATAACACACGCAGTTAGCTGGTTTAGGTGAAGATCTAACTCGGCTCCATGGCTGGCTCCAGGTGTATTCTCTAATAACACACGCAGTTAGCTGGTTTAGGTGGAGATCTAACACGGCTCCATGACTGGCTCCAGGTGTATTCTCTAATAACACACGCAGTTAGCTGGTTTAGGTGAAGATCTAACTCGGCTCCATGGCTGGCTCCAGGTGTATTCTCTAATAACACACGCAGTTAGCTGGTTTAGGTGAAGATCTAACTCGGCTCCATGGCTGGCTCCAGGTGTATTCTCTAACAACACACGCAGTTAGCTGGTTTAGGTGAAGATCTAACTCGGCTCCATGGCTGGCTCCAGGTGTATTCTCTAATAACACACGCAGTTAGCTGGTTTAGGTGATGATCTAACTTGGCTCCATGGCTGGCTCCAGGTGTATTCTCTAATAACACACGCAGTTAGCTGGTTTAGGTGAAGATCTAACTCGGCTCCATGGCTGGCTCCAGGTGTATTCTCTAATAACACACGCAGTTAGCTGGTTTAGGTGAAGATCTAACTCGGCTCCATGGCTGGCTCCAGGTGTATTCTCTAATAACACACGCAGTTAGCTGGTTTAGGTGGAGATCTAACACGGCTCCATGACTGGCTCCAGGTGTATTCTCTAATAACACACGCAGTTAGCTGGTTTAGGTGATGATCTAACTCGGCTCCATGGCTGGCTCCATGTGTATTCTCTAATAACACACGCAGTTAGCTGGTTTAGGTGATGATCTAACTCGGCTCCATGGCTGGCTCCAGGTGTATTCTCTAATAACACACGCAGTTAGCTGGTTTAGGTGATGATCTAACTCGGCTCCATGGCTGGCTCCAGGTGTATTCTCTAATAACACACGCAGTAAGCTGGTTTAGGTGAAGATCTAACTCGGCTCCATGGCTGGCTCCAGGTGTATTCTCTAATAACACACGCAGTTAGCTGGTTTAGGTGAAGATCTAACTCGGCTCCATGGCTGGCTCCAGGTGTATTCTCTAATAACACACGCAGTTAGCTGGTTTAAGTGAAGATCTAACTCGGCTCCATGGCTGGCTCCATGTGTATTCTCTAATAACACACGCAGTTAGCTGGTTTAGGTGAAGATCTAACACGGCTCCATGGCTGGCTCCATGTGTATTCTCTAATAACACACGCAGTTAGCTGGTTTAGGTGAAGATCTAACTCGGCTCCATGACTGGCTCCTGGTGTATTCTCTAATAACACACGCAGTTAGCTGGTTTAGGTGAAGATCTAACTCGGCTCCATGACTGGCTCCTGGTGTATTCTCTAATAACACACGCAGTTAGCTGGTTTAGATGATGATCTAACTCGGCTCCATGGCTGGCTCCAGGTGTATTCTCTAATAACACACGCAGTTAGCTGGTTTAGGTGATGATCTAACTCGGCTCCATGGTTGGCTCCAGGTGTATTATCTAATAACACACGCAGTTAGCTGGTTTAGGTGATGATCTAACTCGGCTCCATGGCTGGCTCCAGGTCTATTCTCTAATTACACACGCAGTTAGCTGGTTTAGGTGATGATCTAACACGGCTCCGTGGCTGGTTCAGGTGTATTCTCTAATAACACACGCAGTTAGCTGGTTTAGGTGATGATCTAACTCGGCTCCGTGGCTGGTTCCAGGTGTATTCTCTAATAACACACGCAGTTAGCTGGTTTAGGTGATGATCTAACACGGCAGACCCGATATCGCGAGGATAGGCGGTGTAGATACATCTGATACGACGCCATCACTGTGTTTTCGTTTGTTTGTTTTTTTTGTTTGTTTGTTTGATTGTTTCTTGTTTAGTTCCGCACCCAGCCACACATGTTTCCATGCGACTTTATAAAATATTTTACGTAGGGCTGTTTGTTTAGCTCCTATGAGGATATAACAATATTTTTTCTTGTGGCACTAGGATGCTTCCGTAGGCTTTGGTGATTGGGAATTTGTATTTAATAGTTTATTTTTTTATTTCATTGTTTTGTTTGTTTGTTTTTGTTTTTGTTGTTGTTGGCTTTTGTGGTTTCCGTTTGTTTGTTTTGTTTGGGTATTGTGTGTGTGTGTTCTTTTTGTTGTTGTTTTTTTATTATTATTTTTGTTCTTTTGTTCTTTTGTTCTTTTCGTTCTTTTTGTGTTTTTTATTTATTTATGTTGTTTTTTTTGTTCTTTTTTGTTGTTGTTTTGTTCTTTTATTGGGATGGAGGTTGGTTATGGTATAAGAAACTGGCCGTCGACCTACGGGATATAGCCACAGTAATGGCAAGGCGAACTCATGATATATGAAGTTATGTGTAATCACGCGATGTCATTTCTATTTCCAGCAAGACCGAGCAGAATAGACAGCGTGGTGGTGTTCTTAAGGAGGTTCAGT